GATCAACAATTTACCCAAACACCTCAAAACGGCAGAGGAGGGGGCCCGAGAATTTTAATTCCTAGATGGCGGGAAATGAGCTTTCCCGACTTTTGAGCTAGGTGTATTTTAATGACTTGGTTCTTCATAATTCAATTTCCCCCCTCCTGAAAACGGTCAAGTGAAACTTCTCATACGAATTGCAGGAAAAAATGTAACTCGGTCGGGGACCGGATAAACACACTCTTTCCCCTCAATCGCCCCCTTCTTCCCTATTTTTTTTCTTGCGTTTCTTTCCGATCATACAAAAATCATTTATATTTTCTGCCAAAAAGTGGGAGCCCGGGCCCCCTGGTTCCTCCGGCCATGTTTCGAAGTGACAATTTGATAACCAATCAGAACGACGTCCAATAAGACGCGCGTGTCCCACAAACACTCAAGTTTATGTAGGTTTATGTCGTTCGTTTTGTGGAACCAGCAACAATGCCCAAGGGATCAGGGCGTTATTGGAACTGTCTAAAGGCCTAATTTAATTAGGCTTAAATTTGCGCCCTATGTTAGCCTAAATTTTAAAAATCCTGCTTTTTTTCGAGGGCCTATAAGCACTCCTATTCTGCTTGGCCTCTACATCCAGGAGGATCAGACGAATCAAGATTCTCCTGGGACACAAATAGACAAGTAATCATAGATTGGATTGGATTTATTCGGTGTAAACACCAAGGATAGCCCATGAAAGTCTAGGGGTCCTTCTGGTGGTGATTGGACAGTACACCGGGAGACAATCCCCTACTCTTTTCCGAAGAGTGTACTGCGTTCTTTAACGTGCACATGGGCCATAAATGCACACGCGACCAACGGCTTAAACGTCTCGTCCGAAAGACGGTGCGCTATTGTAACTTGTATTTCAGCCCTCTAGCTGAAACACAAGGAGAGGCAGCGATGGGAATTGAACCGGGGACCTAGAGATCTCCACGGTTCAGCGCACATTATTACACGAACGTCATAGGCACACATTATCTGGGATTAAATTTTTAATTCCATCAATACGTTTATGTAAACTTATAGTTAAGAAATTGCATGAAATGACGAACCAATCTGATCAACAGGGCAGCTTGGACAACCACAGAGTCCTTCGATAGGATTCGAACATCGATTTGAAACTGAACATGCTGGTGGAATCACACACACCGTTCTACCACTATCTAGATTGCAGAAACACCCATAATCGCATGTCAGCCTATCAGCTTCTGAATCGCGCCTCCTCGATTGATCAACAACCGCGCAGTTTGGATATCGCCTGGAATTAACATCAAACCCTTGTCCTCCATCAAGTCCATCTCGACCAGGGCCATTTACAGTTGCATCTTCACCATCCTCGCCATCTAGACCATTGTTAAATGTTGGAGGACAAAGCTGATAATCGCATTCTGCCTGCCTGTTTTAATTATAATAAATACATTTTAATGGATCCATCATATAATTTGAGTAAGGACAAAATGTTTGTGCCGACTTACCGTCCAGGCGCGTGTACCATTCTGGAACAAATATATCGTAGTACCGTTCCTTTAAATGTCTTACAATTACTGGCATATTTTGAGTTCCTATTTATGTCCATTCAAATATCATAGAACAAAAATGTTACAATAACACGAGTCTCTAAACGGTCACTAAAACAATAGGAAGGGTAAGTCAGAAGACAGTCATTTCTATTTCTGTATTCCTCCTGCAAATATGTGGACCCGTTCATCCTTGCAAAAGGCCGCCTTTTTTGTGAGTAGGCATAAATTCGAAATATACAACTTAGTTTAAATTGACGTCAGTTTTATTTCCTCTATTACTTTATTTAGGTATAGTACATTGCACACAATATGTTACTAACCGTGGTTGTATATTTCCAAGATCTATCTTATTGCTTACAATATTTACAAAAGTAGACGTAGTGGGAATATTCTGACAGCTGCAGATTGCGCACCCCACGGGAACATTTGACGCACCCTCGGGCACTTTAACTGCTATTTGGTCCTCGGTGAGGGCCACGCAATGACGACCTGTAAAAAGATGATGTCATTATTAACTCAATAATAAAAAAATAGTCATTACTAAATTTCGTATAAAACAATCTGATAGTCTCTATTTGATTTTTCTTAACAATCAAGTGCATGCTTTCAATATCAATTAATTACTGTATAACTAATCCCCATTTTTGTTATAATAACGTGTAATAATGGTTTATTTTCTCATTAATTGAATAAGATTATCAACACCACTAATGTAGGCCTAGTCATCAAAACCACCACCATCATCATTGGAGTGGAGTTGAATAGCTTGGTGGGTAAGATTCTTGCCTTCCAATCCCAGCGTCCTGGGTTCAAATCCTGTCAGACTCCATGATATTTTTCTCGCGACAAAACAGCTCCACACCATAAGCCTCGTCATGAAACTTAAGCAGAGCATCATGTGATATATGTTTGTTATGTGAAGGAATTGCCACCTAATAGGATAGTGATTAAGTCGCTATTGGTAATCCTTGGCCATGTGACTAAAGGAATTACAATTTAAATAAATAAAAATCTATCAAAATCGACAATAACTTTTTTTTTCATTATCATCACGAACATCATTATCATCAACTTCATCACTATCATTATCGCAAGCGCGAACGTAGTATTATCCCCAATATTTACTACTACCATCATCGTCCTTATCATCACCATCTCCACCACTCATCAAAATATTCAAAATCTTCATCATCACCATCATAATCATCATCATCATCATCATCATCAGCATCATCATTGTTGTTGTTGTCATTTTCATCGTCAAAATCTCCTTTCTGATTTTTTTCATAGAATGTTTTCTCCTTTTTCGTAATAAGGCAAATTGTCATAAGCTCAAAGGCCTGGTTTTCTTAATATCACTACCCTGTCACTATCAATGTTTTCAGTGCAATCGTTGTACTGCGTAGCAGTAAGGCGTTCCGATTCAACCGACCAATCAGCATCACCGAAAGCTGTCGACGATAGCGTGTAGCGGTTGTATGGAAACCAAGCTTTAGTGAGTTAAGAGCCTGCACAAAAGTGTTTTGACTCATTGATGGTTTGACGCACTTATAATAGAAAAGTTATTTAAGGAATTTCGATGAGGCCAATAACTGCAACAAATACAAATTGCGACTGTTACAGTTATAGTTTAAGATTAAACAATAATCGATATTCTTTTTAAATAATCCAAAACGGTGTATTTCTTTAAAGTCAATCAAGGACGGGGATAAACACTTGTATAAATCTTACACAATCGTGACACTTATGAAAACTTGAAAGACCTTTCTTGAGAACTACTTGACCAGATGTCTTCCATGTTCTGTACTTGATAAGGAACACCAGATCAATGACAAAGCATATGGCATTGTCCATCTAATTAAATTTAAATTGTTGTTTTGAAGGACGTTGATTATGTATACGATTTGAAAATGGTATTGGCTATATGGAAACGAAAGTGCCAATTTTGTATGGTTGTATAAATATAATGCCAGTATTTAGCCAAAAAATATATTTTTTTGTGTTGGCCACGTTTTAGGAAAATCCAAAAAATGGGTCGGTAAGAAAAATTTGGGTCGGTCGGGAGTGGCCAACACAATTATTTTTTTTAATTTGTCCTTAATACTGACAAACACACACATACATACACGCCTGTACCGTACCTGGTGTATTGGTACCAGTATTGACATTGGTATACAAATGAGTCAATGATATAGGTAATGTATTAATGGTTGTTATTGATATACTAGTATATTGTATATATTGGTAAATATACCAATGAATGAATAAATGTATATACTAGTATACTATTACTATGGTACGATGTGTAAATGTATCTGTTATAATTGGTATTTTATGGTACGAAGAGTATTGTCTCTTTTGTTATCGGTATTGGTATGCTATGGTACGATGAGCTCAGCCTCAGTAAATGTATCTATTAGTATTGGAATGCTAAGACAAAAGTAACGCAATATAAGGACCTGATAGGTAGGAAATTCACAATCACACGAGCATCAGCTTTGCGAGGAAAACCACATTTACATTTGGTAGTGAACTCCCGGAGCGTTTAGATGTAGAGTAGGCGGAAACGACAACTCCAAGGAAGGAGGCGAGAAAATTAGGATGTTCAAGTTAAGTCAAATTGAATTATAGAATTATATCTATCGAATAATTGCGAAGTTACAATTTCTGAATTGCTAAATTTTAATATTATTTGTAAATTATGAATTAATATCATTAATTATGATAAGTCTCTTTTGATATTGGTACACTGTGCTATGGTACGTAAATGTTTTTATTGGGTATTGGTATGCTATGGTACGAAGAGTACCGTAATCATCTCTTCTGGTATTGGTATGCCGTGTTACGATGAGCTCAGTAAATGTACCATATTGGTATTGGAATTGATATACTATGGTACGAAGAGTAGGCCCTAATTGTCTCTTAATATTGGTATTGGTCCAGGTATGCTATTTTACCTCAGTTAAAATTATCTATCGGGTATTTGATATGCTATGGTACGAAGAGTAGGCCCTAATTGTCTCTTAATATAGGTATTGGTCCAGGTATGCTATTTTACCTCAGTAAAATTATCTATCGGGTATTGGTATGCTATGGTACGAAGCGTAATCTTTTGATATTGATGTTGGTACGCTATCGTGCGATAAGTAATTGTACAACTATGAAATAATTTTCACCTACCTTGTAAGCAGCGCGGACACCTGCAGCCTGGTGGAATTTCTGGATCGGAGCACTCGTTTGAGACGAGGCACGAAGTCGGCTCGTCTCGGCATTCAATGCGTGGAATCGCATTCTGTCTACTTACACAAAAACAGCCAAATGTACAGTCAGGAATAACATCAACATATTGGATATCTGTACACGTGGACCCTTCAGTCTGCCCTTTTACAAATAGTATTAAACAGACGATTACTGATATTTGAAACATTAATTGTAAATTTTCTCCCATTATCAATGGATTTAGTTTTTCAAACTTTAGAAAATATTTCGTTTGAAAGACAAGTTGGTAGTATCGTTTACAGCGCGCGTGCATCTGGAAGAAAACTTTTCTTCACTTTAATATATTCGGAGTCGCGGTCCTTGACTGATAATACAACTACTCTTCGTAAAATGAACTCTGTGTTAAATGTAATCCAAAAAAACTTAAGTATCGTCTTTCAATTATGTTCTGATTTTGCTATATTCATTGAGCCCCGGATGTAACTTCTGAATGCAGGGTCGAAATTTGTAGTGTTGGCAGACAGCGCCGTTCCTGTTACGAGATGTGAGGAGCGTACCATTAAGGATTATCTTGCCACTTAGGCGATCGCGTCAGTCGATAGACGTCTAGGCGCGCTAAGCGTCCCATATGGCCCTATTATATCTCCACAACATTATTTCTCAGGATAATATTTAAGGATATCCTGTATGGAGGATTTGATATTTTTGTTACCACCCCCACAGACGCATAACCACCCATTCAAAAGCATTAACGACTTCGAACGAATGCACGTTCACAACACATCCGTAAAAACAAGATTAAAATACTGCTGTGTCATGAAAGAAACTATAGACATATTATAAACAGAAAATGTACGTCAAAATAATTGTTATTAATAAATATATCTTATGTTTTTATTAAATATTCGAAATAGACCTAATTGTTATGAATGAATATAAAAAAAAACAAAAATGGTTTGGGTGGGAATCTCCCCGACGAATTGTGGTTTCTTCTTTTCTTTGGGGGGAGGGGGTAACTGGGTAGGGGAAAATTATCGGGTGAAAAATTCCCCCTGCCCTCCCCCGCTGGTTCCGCCATTGGCAATAAATTACAAATAAATTTAAATCAGTGCCGCCAAGGAATAGCAACTGCAGTAGAGCACTGCCAACCAAACAGTTTTAATGAAACCACCCGTCTTGCATATAGGCCTACGCCAGTTGTGTGCATAATCGATGAGAACCTTAACTGGAATGCCCATATAACAACCAATATCCGCAAAATTATTTTTGGTAACACCAGAATGCTCTTTAGATTTACAAATGCTTTTCCTGATCATATTTTAAAAATTATTTATTGTAGTATAATTTTACCATATATTGTATTGTTGCATGGGGTAACTGTGCACAGTACCAACTAAACAACATACGCCTAAATTTAATACAGAAGCAAGCAATCCGAGTTGTCTGTAGAGCAGAATTTCGCGCTGAAACTCTGAATAATTTAACATCATCAGTAAATAAAAGTGACTGAGCAGAAGTGAAATGTAATGGCAGATGAATAAATTAAATAATAAAGGTCCCAGGATTGAGCAATGAGTTACTCAAGAAATGACTGGTAACCATTCTGATGATTGTCTTTCAATAAACAACTCATCCATCCAATCATTCGTCTGTTCGTTCGTTCGTCCGTCCGTCCATCCATCCATTCATCCACCATTCATTCATTCATTTATTCATTCATTCTATATTCAGCCTTTCATAAAAAAAAAAAAACAATATACAGTTGGTACAATAAAATATTACTAAATACAAAAATCCAATAATATAAAATTATGTGATATAAAATATAATTCTCAAAATTTTCCAATATAAGTTTAAAAATTCCGAGTCCGATTCTAGAATCTTGCTGCTCATATGGTGATTTTTATGTTCGGTTCAATAATCTATAATGATTCCTTGTTTTGCATTCCCTGTTCAGTGTTAATAACTACCTGGACCAATGTTATTTCCTGAATGTGTGGCAGAGTGTTGTTCCTTTGTTGAAAATAAAGTGACTTTATAGGCCCCGTATATACGGTAACTTCGATAATTTTACGTTAATTGCAAAAACAAATAAATTAAATTAAAATGAGACTGAGATAAAAACAAAACGTATATAAATATACAAATATATACACACACACATGTAGGCCTATATATCGGCTATATAGGCTTATACATATTTATATATATTTATATTATTTAATTAATACTGTACAGTACCGTACGCTACTAAAATCTAAAAAAATACAATACAAATATCGGCATAGGAAAAAAAAAAATTAGAATTCAATTGAAAAAGGGGGCAACATAATCTTAATTATTGCAAAAAATTTAAAAAAAAAAATAAAAAATTGGGGCTCGTCCGGGAATCGAACCCGGGACCTCTCGCACCCGAAGCGAGAATCATACCTCTAGACCAACGAGCCAACCACCAAGAGAGGGCGTTCCTTAACATTAAAAAATGTCACGTATAATCTGATAGAATCAACGGAGTTTGGTTATGAAGTAAATAATAGGAAAAAAAACCTCCGCCAAAGCCTCTACTAGTTCTACACATGTATTACCAAGGAGGTATAAAGTATTACCACATAGGTATATCGCTATCCTTTCGGATGTTACAACAATGTCGCATCCGGCAGGCACAATTCCCTGCCGCAGACCAGCTTGACTCCGCCAGGTTGCAAATAGCCAAGTATAGGATGCAATGGCAACAGGTCAAAACGGCAAAAAACCAAAACGGCAATGTCAAAATGACCAAACGGCAAAAAACCAAAACGGCAACACTTTTAGACCGAAGGGCAATGGACCAAAACGGCAAGACCAAAACGGCAATAAATCAAAACGGCAATAAACCAAAACGGCAACATTCCCAGAATGACTCGGCTGTATGGTAATTGGCAAACTAAATAAAATACTATTATGCTACTAGGCCTAGGCAGAGAGTCTAAGCCGAGGGCTTAGTAAAATGATTGGGGGAATCACAATATAAAAGCAGTAAACTTTTAAATAATTAAAACTTTAAAATACAGACAAAATGAGGCTAAACAATTTATTTATGTCATGAAAGTAAAAAGCGCGAAAACACTTAAAAAAATAATATTAATAATAATAAAACTAAATAATAATAATAATAACAATAATAATAATAATAATAATAATAATAATAATAATAATAATAATAATAATAATAATAATAATAATAATAATAATAATAATAATAATAATAATAATAATAATAATAATATAATAATAATAATAATAATAATAATAATAATAATAATAATAATAATAATAATAATAATAATAATAACAACAACAACAACAACAACAACAACAATACAACATACTTCAACAGTAAGAAAGATTGGGGAACATACGGTAGGCCTACAATATAAAACCATTGAATATTTAAAAAATTAAAACCTTAAAATACAGATAATATGAGGATAAACAATTTATTTCATGAAAGCAAAAAACGGGAAAGAATAATAATAATAATAATAATAATAATAATAATAATAATAATAATAATAATAATAATAATTATGTATATAAGCCTATATGTTTGTATCAATTGCCTTTTATGTCCTATTATCTAATAACATAACATTACATGATCTGCTGTTGATTTAAATTTATTTTATAATGGCTTGTTTATATAATGTAGGCCTATATTTATCAATAATTAATTTTCACGTGTATTTATAACTGGATAGCTGCATATTTTATCATAGTACTGTAGTTTCGTACATGATACTGTATATTGAAATACATTCATACAGGGAGAAAACTAATACAGTACAGTACCTGTCTCTTATACACATCTTGGTATATGTATATAATTGATTTTACATTGTTCCACGCGTGTTCAAATAATAAAACAGAAAATAATGATGCAAAAACGTGACAGTACAACACAAAATATTTTATTTAGGAAACGAATATTTCGTCTTGTCCTCAAGAGTTCATCAGCGTAACTGATTACACAAGTTGGCAAATACCAGATCAAATAATACAGATAAACAGTCGGCATTAAATAAAGGAGGGTGATTAAATGAGATAAACAATAATGGAAACACAGGAGCCTGGTTCACGTCGAACTTTTATCTAGATATACATCCACTTAACTAGTTAAAAGTTCGACGTGAACCACTCAATTATAGCTAGATACCAGGCTTAAGTGACTTAAGTTAAGTGACTTAACTTTACTAGAATAACGGTAAATTAACTTGCTTAACGGTAAAGTCGGCTCGGATTACAAGGACACGATTACGTAACGTAGGCATCTAAAGCCAGCGTTGTTGTATTGTACCACCATATCATCTTCTGGCTGGCAACAACGTACTCCAACAATGCTAACAACAGCATTGAAGTAGTCTCATTAGTCTGGTTTTCAGAAATTATTTGTAATATTATGGGTAAAAACCAAGCAAACGTCCGTTTTACGAATAGTCGATATTACCAATGACCTTTGCATCATCGACCAAGTAATAACGTTAAAAAGTCCGATTGCGTACATTTTTCAAAGTGATAACGTATATTTTTCTTAATAATAAAATCAGATTTGTTGTATTTATTTATTGACAATTCAATCTTTTCCATTTCTGCTATAATAGTCGCTATTAATTCAGTTTTAACGAACTACCACCAACGCCAGTCGTTGAAATGAGCGCACATATTGTTTACGATGACGAAATAAAAAAGTGTGTGGAAGTCAGCAACTTATTTGACACCGCGAAGCAAATGAGTCTAAAGTATGTAAAACAATGTACTGTGATATCGAGTAGTGTAAGCTATAGAACATGACACTGATAAATATACTGGGAATAGAAATCATTGGATAATAAGCGTAATGTAAAAATATAAATAAATGTATATAGGCCTATAATATAATAATAATAATAATAATAATAATAATAATAATAATAATAATAATAATAATAATAATAATAATAAGCCATTGACAATATAAAAAAAAGTAAACTAGGTAGGCCTAGATACAAAATGTAATGCAGAAATAGCAGAGAAGTGAAAATTAAAATATAACATTATAAAATATTACTTTTATTTTATAATGTTATATTTTAATTCTCACTTCTCTGCTTATGACTTCTGCTTACATTTGTAACAGAATTGTAACGCTTTTTACCGGATTTGCGTCATACCATGCGAGCTAGGCCCTCTCGCGGCAGTGTGTGAACTGCCTATGTTGATAATAATAATAATTACAGGTAATAAGGTAAGGGTGGGCTGCTTGCGATGCCATTTTCGACTTGCAGAGGACGGCCTTTATATATTTAGGTAAAATATATTCTTATGTATATAAGCCTATATGTTTGTATCAATTGCCTTTTATGTCCTATTATCTAATAACATAACATTACATGATCTGCTGTTGATTTAAATTTATTTTATAATGGCTTGTTTATATAATGTAGGCCTATATTTATCAATAATTAATTTTCACGTGTATTTATAACTGGATAGCTGCATATTTTATCATAGTACTGTAGTTTCGTACATGATACTGTATATTGAAATACATTCATACAGGGAGAAAACTAATACAGTACAGTACTGCACTGGGGTGGATGCAGGTGGGGTGGGGGTGCAGATGGTGCGATTGACACTCTCTAAATTATATTAAGAAAAACACTTCTTTTACGGTATATGATATCAAAGAGTATAAATAGAACAAGAGAGTAAAGTCCCGTTCGTAAAAACGTCATGCCTGTGTAGGACGCCAACTAACGGTTGTATATTCTTTTTATTACCCAGTGCAGCGCTGCGCAGCGCGGTAGAAGTACGCCCGCTATAAACTCAGTAAGCAGAAAACAAAAGCAC